TCGGCATTCACTGCCTTGGCTGTTGTGATATCATCACTTCATTAGTACTTTTTAGTCACCCTCAAGTTCCAGGGCAGATAAAACCCTGGAGCCTACAGGCATTTGATGTCCACGTCTTGCTGGAATTCAACAGGAACTGGTTACCCAACTCCCACATGCCCAGGTCCAAAACCCGTTGAAGCTGATGAAGAGACTTTCATTGACTTCTATTACTGTTCCACCAAACCCTTAAGCTCCTCTGAAAATCCCAGCCTAAATTTCTAGTATAAAAAGCTGAGTAGGAATCTAAGAAAGTATTTCAAACCTTTTCAGAAACCTCATAAAGAAGTAAAAAGGACACGTCTGTTTTTTTCCCCACCTTAGGTGATACATGGGGTCTACTGTGGGCTCTCTGCATTTCATTATTAAGGAATAAATTAAATTGCTTTGAACCACTGTTTCAGCAAAAAAAACAACTATAATTGTGCCATGTGGCACTTATTAATAATAAAAAGTTTAATAAATATTTAGTAAACCATGAGCACTTTTGTTCTGTTTTAAAAAATAGTCAGCATCCAACTAGCACTCCATGTTGCTGCAGAAATATTTGCTGTTCTGAATAATGAATCAATATATTTGCTTTCCATTTTCATATACACATAGCTTTGATGCCTTAAATTACACTAACATTAGTGTCACACTTGTGAAACAGTAAGAAAAAATAATAGTGCGACTGTTATGGAATCACCGGTTTCACTGGCATCGGGCCCAGCTCCATTTCCATTTCTTGCAACATGGGGATGATATAGGGGCCGAATTCTGAGAGGTCTGGCACACCTCTCCTGACACGCAGTGCTCAGCCCCTTGCTGGATCAGGCACTAGGCTGTTAGCAGTGAGGCAATTCAAGTTTTTTAAAACTTTAGGCAAGAAAGGATTTTTGCAAATATACTTGAGCTGCTTTCTACTTTAATTCTGTACCATTTACTTATTATAGAGTGCATCCATCCTGTCTCCACACCTGCCTCTGCACCTCCTCCATAGACGCCTTGGTTGTATTGCACAAGACTATGACTAAGAGGGGAGGCAGGGCTTATCGCTGCACATGACCCTGCCTTTGCACCGTGCAGCACTTGGCATGCTATAGTCCAGTAGCACAAGCTGGCTGCAAATACTTTTCCCTCCTGTATTTCATTTTCTTCAGGAGGCAGCTGCTTCTGAGACAGAGCTCAGTTCCCTTTTTTTGCCTGTGTCAAAGGAAACTGGATCATATGGTAGTTAAGTTTTGAAGGACAGCATTAGGCTCCATTGGTTATCAGCCTCAGGCTTGGAAATGAGATATATTTAGTTTATTTTAAGGGATTATACTTCTTAAAAATCATACTGAAATTGTTATACATCTCTTTAAAACACAATGGCAGCTCAACTTTTCCAGTCTCACTGCTACATGGTACGCATAACCAAAGTGCAGGGCCGTGAACTGTTTTCACCTTTTTGACACCAGAATGAAACAAACTCCAAATAGCGTTAAAAAAGACAACCAAACTATGAACGTATAATATCTTTAAGTCATTCCAGTATTCCCAGGTCTTCATTTACCAGCCCCAGCATATGTTGTTTCAAGAAGTAAAAGAGAGTTTTAAAACTTCTCCTTCTCTTAAGATCCATTCTGGTTTCACATTTTAAAAAAGAGAGAGGGGAGGAAAAACCCTTCAAACAGGTGTTGTTCTTCTGTTGACCATGCTGACATGTAGTCCTTCTTTAAATTCCTTCTGAAGGAAGTTGTGGACCTGCAGAAAACTGGCTTCTTGTTCTGCATTGTAACTGGCTGCAGTTGTAACCTTCAGGGGCTCTCTGGATAAAGTGTACATGGAAATTTCATTCATGGGGATGGAGCTTGAAATCTTCATGCCAACTGGGGAAACGTCCCTAGACGGAGAAGGCTCTGTCGATCTAGAACTTGATCTGGACCTCCTCCTCCTGTACCTATAGCTTGGCATCCTGGCATAAGGAGAAGAAGAAGTCTTAAGGAATTCCCTCCTGGTCTTAAACCTCAGCTCTTTATTTTTCTCAATGTAAATGTTCACAGCCAGCACTCCTATGGTTTCAGCCACAATAAAAGACAAAGCTCCAAAATAAAAAGACCAGCCATAGCTGTAATGGTTCTTTTTGTCCTCGTCTCGCTTGTCACTTGGGTCACCAGCATTGCTTGATATGTAGACAATGATTCCTATGATATTACTTAATCCTAGAAAGAAAAACTAAAAATTAGTCTTTATGGAGATGGGAAGACAAAAATCTCATGCCGCACCATCCTCTAGATCGGGTGGTTATCAACCTTTTAGAGCGGTGAGCCACTGCTTGAGACCCAGCTGGCATTGTGGGCCACCGATCCCTTTGGGGGGCACTGCTCCTCTCCTCAGCTCCCCCCTCCGCAGCACCCAAGCTGCCTGCTGCCGCTTCCCCCGTTTGCCATTGCTGCCGATGCCTATCCCCAACAGCAGTGGGGGGGAGCAAATGCACAAGCAGTTGTAAGCAGAGGGTAAAAGAGAGCATCTGGGAAGGCTCTGGGGTGGGGGACACTGTGAAGGGGTCGAGATCGGTGGCCTGGCGTAGTGCAGAGAAGAGGTACACACCAGGCTGAGCTGCATGCTGCAGATCCCATGCTGCCACGAGCCAGATCCAATCACTTTGCAGGCTGGATCTGGCCCATAGGCTATAGGCTGCTACTCTAGATCCAAAACAACTTAGTTATTACCATGCAAGATTTAATTTATTTGCCTTAAAACAGCATTAACAAATCATAAGAGCAAAGCCAAATATGGTGCCTTGTCTGGGGGATGAAATAAAAGTGCATATTGGAAACTAAAGGCCTGATCTCATTGAATAATTTATATTAGTTAGCTCTTAAAAGGCCTGAGACAACTTTCTTTGAAGTCGGTGGAAATATTTTGACCTGCTTCAGTGTAAGTTGGATCCAGGGATATGACGTACTTTTCAGACACGGATCTCAACATTTTTCACGAAAGGAGATGAGCATCGTTTTACCAGTGGAGAAAATGGCCACAAAGAGCTTGTGGCCTTCTCAAGATCTCGCTGCAGGATACTAGGAAGGCCGGACAGGAGCCCAGGCCTCTGGACGCCAGCAGAGCCCTCACCCACCGAGTCACGCTGATTTACACATCGCTTACGCAGCTCACAAGACCAGGCTGTAATTCTTTGTTTAGTGACAGAGAATGGTGGTATTCAGGAACTTAGTTTGTATTTAGTAGATCACTAATATTCAGACCTGGTAATAAAAATACATTTTGATCTCGGTTCACTTTGATCAAGATAAGATGCTTTGCACCTTGCTAAACTTTCATCTAAATGCTGCATGCTTAATCTGTGGGTTTGTGGAAAGATACTAGCAATGTGCCTAGTGCTCTATGATATTTCTAGCATGAAAAATGTGCTAGCGTATCCCAGGCAGCTTTTTCAAGTCGCAATACTTGAGGGGGAAATCAGGCCTTATCTATGAAAGACACCTACTTCAGATTCTATACAGTCATCTCATTTTAATGCCTTTAAAAAGTATAAAACATTGGGATTTCTGGCCTTTGCTGAAGGACAAAGAAACCATCTTTCCAGAAAAACTCATTAGCTAAATGCCTTTCCAGGATTTTGATGTTGTAGCATGTCTAGGAAATACTCTGTCGCATGATATTTGCCTAAGAGGGAGTTTCTGATTCCTTTCAAATCCTAGGCATGGGAGCAGTAAGAGGCCCTGTGGGTCTTCTGACAGGACCCTTGAAAGTCTGTGCGCTGCTTGGGAGTTAGATCCTGGGAAACTTTCCTCAAGAAAGGGAAAGAAAGGCGAGCATGATTTAATCCCATGGAATGTCAGATTTAATCCCATGGAATATTTTCAGGAAAGGGTCAGAGATGCCCTTCCCCATGTAGAAGGAGTCGAAAGAGCCTAATATATTGGAAGAAAATCCATGGAACAGACCAAAGAGACCGACGTGCAGCTTGCCATCTGCTCTGTTTGGAAACTACAGTAAACCAAACCACAGGGGGAATGGCAAACCGAAATGCAGACACCTTGCCGGGGATGATGAAGATCAATGCACTCCTTTATGTGTGTCAGCAACTGCAGCAAAGATCTGGAAGTTATGTAAGTATCCAGGGAGCTTTTTCAAGCCCCCGGCTGTCTGAGAGGACGTTCACACCCGCCCACAGTATGTTCACGTCGCTGCTGTGCTCTCAGAAATCCACTAGCGTTGTTTGTAAAATGCACAACTGGGTTATTCAGGGCTGCTCCCAATAACTTGTTTCAGCTACTTGTGTGCCTTTTACTTCTAAAATCTCTCGCGTGGTCATCTTCAGAGGTGAGCTGAGGCTACAAAATTTGGATCCAGCTCCATAAGTTTATTGAAAGCTGAGTATCTTTAAGAATGTGGGCCCAAGTTACAGCAAGAGTGTGATCAACAGGGAATTGAGCCCCCACATCACTAAAGACTCAATTTAGCACTGTCGTTTAGCACTGTAGCTGCTGGCCTGTCTTTCCTCCTCTTTCACGGTCAGTGGAGAGTGAATGCAGCGGAGAGGAGTTCAAGTTCATCTGCGAACATGGACTCTTTCAGCAAACCTGCCCCTATCTCCTCAGCACATCATAGATGCATATTTCATGTAGGCTTGTTACATATCTGCTGAGCCTTGTCTGTGCTTTTGCATTTCCAATTTAGAAAGGAAATGCTACTAAATAACTAAATTTCAGGCAAGAACATACCTGCTGCAACAAAAAGAATCCCAGCACTGAGAATAATGTTGTTTTTGCTGCTGTAAATCCTTCCTGCTCCAACACAGAGTCCTCCCAGCAGTAGTAATACAGTGCTTAGGATGGGAAACACGCTGGAGGCACGGACAATGCCTGAGGGAAAGATAAGAGAAAAAACATGACAGACAGTAATCAGTCCAGATGCCTTTTCTGGTGCTAGCATGGAGATTACAAGACACATTTCCATAGGGTGACCCTCAACTTCTACCTGATCATAACTGAGGTGGTATTTGGATGCAGGGTTTTTAGACCCAAGGTCATGGACAGACAGTGGATGCGACTGACACCAAGTGATTGTGACTGCATGTACTTTCCATCTGCTTTTCTTAAGTGGTTTGAGATTTTCACTGGAAAGTTTGGGGTTGTTATTATAATCTGCCTTTTGATGCAACTGCGTGGGGAACATTTGTGACAATGCACCAGCCAAGGAGGACAGAGAATAATTCTCACAGGCAAAAGCACTGAAAAAATCCACAGATTTATTAACTGTATTTATTATCCATAGACTATTAACTGTATAATGCCAGGTCTGCGGCTTTATGAGATGCCCATGCATGATGTCAACAGCCTTTAGATAATTCAATCCACTGCCTCATGACAGCGCTTCCTGCATCCCTGTCTCCTGTGGCATATGAACGGAGTTGGAGTTAGTTCTCTGACTTTTACAAATGCAGAAATTTAGAATAGAGTGTCTGAAATATTAGTGAAGGGTAACTGAGGCCAGTTATCGCTCTGTTTTGGGGAATATTTTAAGTGCTTTCAGATTACTCATCAACATGGACTGTCTGATACCCCGGGAGAATATATAAAACATTAGCCAGCTTTCAAAACCAAGGCAGAGTTAGGTGAGACAGGAACAGAAAGGAATGAGAAGAGGAAGAAATTAAATGAATGGGAACAAAGAATAAACGGGGTGGGGAAGACAGCAGGGTACAAACGAAAATGGAGGGGGAAGGAATATGGCAGGAAGACCTGCAAGGGGTGATCAAGAGCAAACATTTTAAAAATAGGAACCTGGAGAGTAGGGGAGAAAAATGCACTTTAAACTCTTGCCAAAACTGAGAATTTTTTAACAAAGATAAAGGGGCAAGCGTTTTTTTCACAAGCGTACCAAGGTAAAGGAACTGAAGGGAGAAAGAGAAACCATCATGAAAGCAATAAGTCTTAAGGACACTAGGAATGGCATTAGTAGTGGGTTTGTGCCGCACCACAAAGAGGATGCAGAGAGGGCTGAGGACACGACAGGACTCAGCTAACTGTTGGTATTGGGGACGCAGGGGGTTAAACACACTGACGGGGGGGAAATTGCAACGCGTTCCAGTTCTCCGGTTCGACAATATGGTGCTATCCGCGATGTGTTTTCTCTTGGGTGAAATCTGAATGAGCAATGCCCATTTCTCTAGGAGAAATTGCCAGATGTCATCTCTGATGTTTCTTGTTTTGTTTTTGAGGACAGCGGTTTTCCCAATTTAGCAAACCACACTCGAACCTGGCTGTTTACCAGGCAGAGCCCCATCCTGCTGACCTGGCAATCAATACCAAATGTGCTCTGACTGCCAAAGGAACACGACTGGGCACTTCATGCCCCCATTATTATTGTATTTGCACTGCAGTCGTTTCTACAAGCCCCAATTACAGACCCAGACCCTACTGATGCTGTATAAACACAGTTTGTGCCCAAACAGCTTACAACTGTTCTGAATTGTAGTAGTGTGAATGGCACCTAGCCTGACATACAAGGCATTTTACTCCCTATCGGATGTGCTGTCTGGGGTATTTTCCTAACCCATTAGAGCATGGGTTCAGATCAACTTCTTTTCAAACTGGCCACATTTGCAGCACGGTGGTTTAAGCAGCTTAAGGCAGCCAGAACCCGTCTCAGGATGAATGTGCATGGAAAATATTTCCCCATTGTTTGCACAGTTCTAGCTGGGATCTGTGCAGAAAATGTATGGGCTGCTTCATCGCAGCCTGCTGCTGCCTTCGTCGGCTGCTCACACGACCGCTGCGCTTTCTCTGCTCTCATTCCTTGAGTCTCAGAGCAGTCCTTGCTGCGCAAGCGGACAAGCAAGCTCTGTCACTATCACAGATGGGGTCTCTGCCCGACTCTACGGGTCAGATGGTAAACTCCGCAGCTGTCCAGACAGAGGCATTGCTATTCAGTCGGTGTCTTTTGTTAAACAGCAAGTCCTTTAATGGAGACATAAGGCCATTCACCAGGACATCCTGAATGCTGGGATTCCACTTTACTGACATTTCCTTGTACTATAATATAGCATACAATATAATGATTGAGGGCCAGGATTTTCAAAAGCAGTGATTGATTTCAGGTGCATCACTTTTGGGTGTCCTCAAAGAGACCGCTTATTCAGAAGCCCTAAGCACTCATCCTTGGACCAGCAAATGCTTTAAAGTTCTTAAGCTTGGGTAACAAAAAGGCACCAAGAATAATTCCTTACTCATCAATATCTTGGACAAAGACAGCAAATTCTGATTAGGTAGGCTTTTTGTTCGTCTTTCATATTAATTACACCTAAACTAAAAGCCTTTCTTTAAAATGCTGCAATGGTTTTACTTGGAGGAGCTTGCTAGACATAGCAAATAAACAGAGCCGGCTGTTCTCCTTCTAGCAAGCAGCTCTGGTGATAATATTTTTATTAATTAATGCAAGCATGTGTAATTTCTTTCCACATAATACTACAGCTTTCTGCTTCTACTATGTGTATTTTTGGTTTGAAATTTAAAAGCAGCTCCTCTATATTATGCACAATTTACATATGTTTGCCCATACTGGTAATAAAATGTCAGTGCATCAAAAAACATGAAGGGAATCCAGTTTGGGTTCCCCTTGCCTTCCCTCATACACATACTTTTCCCTTTACTCTCCTGTCTGCATACAATTTTCTGCACCACTACCCATTATGACACCCCTAATGGTAAAGAAACTGAAGAGCTCTTCCTTTCTATTTTGGGCTTTACTTTCCCTGAAAGTCAGATCAATACTGACCTCGTGAAGGAACACCTTGAGAGGCTGGATGCCCTCAAGTCAGCCAGCCCTGACGGTTTATACCCCAGGGTACTCAAGGAGTTGGCGAGCATCATAGCCCAGCCCCTGGCACGGATCTTCGAGAGCTCCTGGCGCTCTGGTGAAGTACCCGAAGACTGGAAGAAGGCCAATGTGGCGCCTGTCTTCAAGCAAGGGAGGAAAGTGGATCTGGCTAACTACAGGCCCATCAGCCTGACCTCTATCTCGGGGAAGGTCTTAGAAAAGATTATCAAAGAGGCCATTCTCAACAGACTGGCCGATGGCAACATCATGAGGGATCGTGAGCCAGCATGGGTTTGTTGCAGGTAGGTCTTGCTTGACCAATCTCATTTCCTTTTATGACCAGGTGACCTATCACCTGGACAAGGGAGAAGAGATTGATGTCATATATCTTGACTTTAAAAAAGCCTTTGATCTGGTATCCCATGATCACCTCTGGGCAAAACTGGCCAACTGCGGCCTTGGCCACACCACGATTCGCTGGCGGGGGAATTGGCTCCATGGTAGGACCCAGAGGGTGGTGGTTGATGGAAGTCAATCGTTGTCGTGCCTGTGCCCAGTGCGGTCCCCCAAGGCTCTGTCCTTGGACCTGTTTTGTTCAACATCTTCATTAATGATGTGGACATTGGAGTCAGAAGTGGACTGGCCAAGTTTGCCAATGACACCAAACTCTGGGGTAAAGCGTCCACACCTGAAGACAGGAGGGCGATCCAGGCTGACCTGGACAGGCTCAAGAAATGGGCAGACGAGAACCTGACAGTGTTTAACACTGAAAAATGCAAGTTTCTCCACCTTGGGAGGAAAAACTTGCAGCATCCTTATAGGCTCAGCAGTACTCGGCTGGCTAGCACTACGGCAGGAAGAGACTTGGGGGTCATCATTGACCGCAAGATGAACATGAGCCTGCAATGCAATGCTGTGGCTAGTAAAGCAAGCAAAACGCTGGCTTGCATCCATAGATGCTTGTGCAGTTTGCAAGGTCAAAGTCTAGAGGCCATACTTTCAAAAAATATTTTCATAGATTTCATAGACATTAGGGCTGGAAGGGACCTCGGAAGATCATCGAGTCCAGCCCCCTGCCCAAAGGGCAGGAAGTCAGCTGGGGTCATAGGATCCCAGCAAGATAAGCATCCAGTTTGCTCTTGAAGGTGTTCAATGTAGGCGCTTGAACCACCTCCGGTGGCAGGCTGTTCCAGACCTTGGGGGCTAGGACAGTAAAGAAATTCTTCCTTAGAAGAATTTCTGCAACTAAAGATGCAAATAGGTACCTAAGCAGGTTTGGCATTCAATGTCCATTGAGAGGAGATGTGCCTGCCTAATTTAGGCACTTCTGCAAATTATGTTAGGTCCCTGTCTGCATCTGTAGGTGCCAAAGGACCTTTGTAAATCAGCTCCTCTAAATGCCTAACTTATCACTAACATGCATACCTTCCTGATGCGTGCCAGCAATTGCAGTAACTTCAGGTGAGCTGCAGATGCACTTTTGAGATTCTGGACCTTCTTTTTGGGAAAGGTGGGCCCTTTCTTTTCACATACTTGGCTTTTCTGAGTTATCTTGGCCAAACTGTGCTGAAATAATGAGGCATAAACCATATGAATGAACAATACCATCAGCACTGAGTACATGGGGGCCTGAGGGTCCTGGCCCTGCCTTGGGAAGAGGGTGTCAGGGCTCAAGCTGAGGAGCTTTAGTTAAAGGACTTTGAAGTGCGGGGATGCTGAATACACAAGACACCAAGGCTGCGGGAGTGTGCTAATTAGTATGCTCCAGCAGACTTGATTAATCGAGTTCATATTAATTGCATATTAATTGAGTCTGCTCCAATGTGCTGTAATTACAGGGTGTGAGAGAAAGCATCCTGCATGTGGTTTCCACGTGTCCATCATCTTAGTCCCCATCCGGCAAAAATAAAAGCGCCTATGAGCAATACAATCGGTCCATGCGAGAGCCAGCAAAATCTCCTTGTTCTGCTGCGTGGGCACGTGGTTTGTTCGTGGCATGGGCTCTGAGGAAAAGTTTCTGCTAATGTTTACAGTGTTTTGGCTG